TGTTTGGCGGGTCCGGGCTGGGGATTCGAACCCGCCACCTTAGGTGTACGTGGCTGGCGCCTTAGCCGGTTGAGCTATAGGCGTCGAGCCTGTTTGTCACTCTTGATAGAGTGCCATGGCATCATAGCTCATAGCCACCTTAAACTCTTGGGCTCAAGCGATTCTCTTGCCTCAGCTTCCCTAGTAGCTAGGACTACAGATGCCCACCACAACGCCTGGCTGTTTTTTTTGTTTGTTCGTTTAGCAGGCCTGGGGCCGGGTTTGAATGCGCCAGCCCCAGAGCATGTGGCCAGTGCCATAACCACTGAGCTACAGGCATCTGGCCTGGTATAATAAGCTTATTAAACAGATCAGAAACTCTGTAATATCATTTATTATTTATTTATTTATTTTTATATTTGAATAGATACACGTTTTGCTTTTGCTCAGGCTGGTCTTGAACTCCCAACCTCAAGTGATCCTCCTGCCTCAGCCTCTCCAAGTATTAGGATTACAGGTGTGAGCCACTGTAATTAAACCTTAATTACTCAGTAATTAAACCTTTATCACTAAGATAATGACTTTACAGTTCTCCCCTTCATCAAAGGAATGTGAGTAAATACAATCCAGAGATGATTTTTTTTTTTTTACGAATAATTTCCATTTTTTAATTTCCAAAGCACAGTTTTTCTTCAGTCCTTAGGGACTTGGCTCCTTATATAGCTTTGGTGGAGGTTGTGGAGTAGTGCCTACAAGTCTAAATCAGGGTTGGGGTGTTTGGACCTTGCTAGCTTCCCAAGTACGATTCCTGAGTACCTTGCTGTGAGTGGCACAGCTCACACAGTAATGTAGCTTCACATTTAGCTTGGGAAGCACCTAGGCATCAACAACCCTTCAGTAATGTCCCTAACAGCTGCTGCCTCCACCCTGTTCCTAAAGGCGAACTTCTTCATAGCTTTGTCTTTAGGCACTTATTGGCCACAGTTCATGCAGTGAATAGGCTATATACATGGCCACTGCCATTTTTGGCATGACCGGTTCTTCTTTTTTGTCATCTTGGATGGAGCTGAATTTTGTTTTTTTATTTTTCTGTTGTTACTCATAGAGGGAAATTTATTTCCACTAAATTATTCTTATTTTTGCCTAGAAAACTATTAAAGGTTATTCTACTTCCTTTTTGTAACTATCTTTTTGCTTCTCAATTTGTTTTTGCTTTCCCAGTCCTAGAAAAAAGGAGATTTAAGATTTTATTTATTTATTTATTTTTGAGATAGTCTCACTCTGTCATCCCGGGTAGAGTCACAGCAGCCTTAAACTCTTGGGCTCAAGTGATCCTCTTGCCTCAGCCTCCCATGTAGATGGGACTACAGGTACCCGTGGATTTAAGATTTATTGAATGTGTATGAAACATAGTGCAATGATCTATCAATTTTGTCCTATATTATCTAATTTAATTCTGACATCCATCATGTGGTAGGCAATATATATCCATTTTGTGAGCGAGGAAATAGGCTCAAAGAGGTAAATTAATTTACCAAAGGTCAAAACACCTCATAAAGGTGATAGCTCCAGAATTTGAATTCTCTTTATTTTGAATTCTCTTCACTGCATTTTAGTTAGCAGCACTTACATATAAGCTAAGAGACTAACTTTTTTTTTTTTAGAGACAGAGTCTCATTTTGTCGCCCTCGGTAGAGTGCTGTGGCATCACAGCTCATAGCAACTTTCAGTTCTTGGGCTTAGCTGATTCTCTTGCCTCAGCCTCTCAGTAGCTGGGACTACTACAGGTGCCCACCACAATGTCCGGCTATTTTTTTGTTGCAGTTTGGCCGGGGCAGGGTTCGAACCTGCCACCCTTGATATATGGGGCCAGCACCCTATTTGCTGAGCCACAGCCACCGCCCCAAGAGACTAAAATTTTTGATAGTAATAGCTCATTTGTTCAGTGATACATGCTAATGAAATATAGCCTATTTAATTGGTTTGGTTCTAGTACCGGTAAATTATTATCAATATTTTATTTTTTTGCCCTGGTAGAGTGCCATTGTAGCTCACAGCAACCTCAAACTCTTGGGCTCAAATTAGGGGATATATATTATTAAAAAAGTGAACTACTGGCTTGGTGCCTGTGGCTCAAGCAGCTAAGGTGTCAGCCACATACACCTGAGCTGGCAGGTTCGAATCCATCCTGGGCCCACCAAACAACAATGACGGCTGCAACCAAAAAGTAGCTGGGTGTTATGCCAGGCGCCTATAGTCCCAGCTACTTGGGAGGTGAAGGCAGGAGAATCGCTTGAGCCAGGAGTTGGAGGTTGCTATGAGCTGTGATGCTATGGCACTTTACCCAGGGTGACAGCTTGAGGCTCTGTCTCAAAAAAAAAAAAAGAACTACAATATATGGAAAGAAATCCAAATGAAACATTTAATTTTCTTAACCATCCTAGGCCTTAGTTTTCTAGGTTTCTTCCTAAAGGAAACTGGTGTTAATAGTTTTACGTATATTTCTCCATAGGTAAACTTCAGCAGGTACAAATGTATTTGTGTATGTAACCTTTTTTTGAGACAGTCTCACTACATTGCCCTCGGTAGAGTGCTATGGTGTCATAGCTCACAGCAACCTCAAACTCCTGGGCTTAAGCGATTCTCTTGCCTTAGCCTCCCGAGTAGCTGGGACCATAGGCGCCTGCCACAACGCCCAGCTATTTTTTGTTGCAGTTGTCATTGTTTAGCTGGCCCAGGCCAGGTTTGAACCCACCGGTCTCAGTGTATGTGGCAGGCGCTGTAACCACTGTACTACAGGCGCTGAGCCATATGTAACTTTTTTGTAAACATGTACTGGAACTTGTTTTTGCTTATATAACTTAGTGTTCATTTCAGCAGCACACAAGGGTCTGTTTTTATGGCTGCATATTCTATTTGATATATATGCCATTATTCAATGTTTCTCACATGATGATGAACACTTAGGTTTATATTTTTTCCAGATGTTATAGTAAAGTAAGTATGGCAACTGGGTGGATGTAGTGGATTGCTTATGCCTGTAATCTCAACATTTTGGGAGGCTAAGGTTGGAAGATTTTGTGAGGCCTGGAATTTGAGACCACTCTGGGCAATATAGTGAGACCCTGTCACTAAAAAAGAAAATAATAATAATTAGCTAGACATGGTGGCATGCTGCCAGCTGCTCAGGAGCTTGAGGAAGGAGGATTGCTTGAGCCCGGAAATTTGAGGTTAGTTTGTGCTATGATTGGGCCACTACATTGTAGGTTGGGTGACAGAGACCATCTGTACAAAAATAATGTGGAATCAGTGTGGCTGTATATATACTTATATGCAATGTGCAAATATATCTGTGGGATACATTCTTAGATGTTATCTTAATATTATCAAATACATTTTATTGTTTAATGAACAGAGCATGAGTTTTTCTCTACCCCTTTAGAAAGAAGCCTAAGAAGAGGAGAGAAGAGATTGGGTGTAGAAGGTCGATGAGATTATTAAAAGTTGATCCTTCAGGAGGTTCATTACCTGCAACTCCAACACAGCCAACATTAGTAGCAGATGAAACTGTAAGAAAAAGTGCAAGTATAGTACATTAATTTAATACATAAAATATTGAAAAGTTCGAAGTGTCAATATTAGACTAAAAGTTTATTAAATTATGTTTAATTGGCTCAGCTCCTGTGGCCCAAGTGGCTAAGGCGCCAGCCACCTACACCTGAGCTGGCGGGTTCGAATGCAGCCTGGGCCCGCCAAACAACAATGATGACTGCAACCAAAAAATAGCCGAGTGTTGTGGCAGGTGCCTGTAATCCCAGCTACTTGGGAGGTGGAGGTGGGAGACTCGTTTGAGCCCAGGAGTTGGAGGTTGCTGTGAGCTGTGATGCTATGGCACTTTACCCAGGGCGACAGCTTGAGGCTCTATCTCAAAAAAAAAAAAAAAAAATTATGTTTAATTTATGTTTCATTGGTGCTTGAATGTTGTGGTTTAATGAGTAAGATTTCACAGTCATAAAGTTTGGGTTGTTTTCTGTATTTCTGTAGGATTTACTTGCTATGGGATTGTGGGTAAATTATTTAGATTTTCTAAGCCTTAGTTTCCCCATTTACAAAATGGCAATAATACCCTTAGTAAATACATACAGCTTTTTCTGTCAGTTAAAAAAGAAGCCTTGGGTGGCATCTGTGGCTCAAAAGGGTAGGGTGTCGGCTCCATATGCCGGAGGTGGTGGGTTCAAACCCAGCCCTGGCCAAAACTGAAAAAAAAAAAAAATAGCCTTAAAGCAGTGGTTCTCAACCTTCCTAATGCCATGAACCTTTAATACAATCCAAAGGGGTCATGACCCACAGGTTGAGAACCGCTGTCTTAAAGGGTATCCTGAGGATTAAGTGAAATAATATCTATGTCTTATATTGTATTAAGAGCTTAGTAAGCAATCAATAAAAGGTAGTTATTAATAATAAATAATGTATGAGAAAAATGATGATAGTCCCTTGCTGTAGTTAATTTTATTACTGTTGGTAAATAGAGCTTTTGTTAACAAATTTATTGTTGAAGTGGTATTATATTTTTTATTTAAGAGTGCCTACTGTTTTTAATTCTTTATATCTAAGTGCTTAATTATAAATAGGAAGAAAGCATTAATTAGGCTGGGGCTTTGGGAGCTAATTGCAAGTCAAGGTGCTGTGGTCGCTGGGTGTGGTGGCTCATGCCTATAATCCCAGTGCTTTGGGATGCTGAAGCAGGAGGATCATTTGAGGCCAGGAATGTGAGTCCAACCTGGCAACATAGCAAGACCTTGTCTCTACAAAGTGAAAAGAAAAAAATTAGCAGGGCATGGTGGTGCATGCCAGTAGTCCCAGCAACTTGGGAGTCTCAGGTGGGAGCCATTCAAAGTCACAGAAAGCTATGATTGAGCAACAGAGGAAGGTACTATCTTGAAAAAGAAAAAAAAAGTGCTATGGGAAGCTGCATAGAATAGTAGCTTTCAAGTTTTTTCTTCCTTTTTTTTTTTTTTTTTTTTGAGACAGAGTCTCAAGCTGTCACCAGGGTAGAGTGCTGTAGCATCATAGCTCACAGCAACCTCCAACTTGGGCTCAAGTGTTCCTCTTGCCTCAGTTTTTCTATGTTTTAGTAGAGATGGGGTCTTGCCTTTGCTCAGGCTTGTCTGGAGCTTGTGAGCTCAAGCAATCCACTTGCCTCAGCCTCCCAGAGTGCTAGGATTACAGGTGTGAGCCACTGCACCTGGCCGGCTTTCAGATTTTTTTTGAAGCCTCATTCTATAATGAGAAGTATATTAACATTGCAACCCATTATATACACATAAACAACTGAAAAGACAGTTTGTGAAATGATACCTTTTTAACTATATGTGATGTTCTTTCGTATTCTCATTTGCTATTCTCATTCACGAAAGTACATTGAACTCACATGCCTAAATGAGTGTGCCTCAAAAAACACTGGTAGAGAATAGTAACAGAGTAAAATCAGATAAATTGATCTGAGTCAATTCTCAGCTTCTCCAGTTATTGACAGTGTGATTTGGGCAAGTCAACTTATTAGTTTATAGGATATCTAGCCTTCATTTCTTTGAACACCCATGATGTGTCATTACTGTTGTTTATGTTGAGGTGGAGTTGTGAAAAATCAAGTAACATTTGGCCACCCTGAGTTTATATTATAGGGCAGAAAGATAATAAACTTTTTTTTCTTTTTGAGACAGAGTTTCAAGCTGGTTATCCTGGGCTCACAGCAACCTCTAACTCTTGGGCTCAAGTGATCCTCTTGCCTCAGTTTTTCTATTGTTAGTAGAGACCGGGTCTCGCTTTTGCTTAGACTGGTCTGGGACTCACGAGCTCAAGCAATCCACCTCCCTCAACCTCCCAGAGTGCTAGGATTACATGGGTAAGGCACTGCACCCATCCAATAAACTTTTTTGGTTTTAAATTTTTTTTTGAATTTTGCAAGCATCTTCCTTATTTATTTATTTTTGAAACAGAGTCTCAAGCTATTGCCCTGGGTAGAGTGCTGTGGCATCACAGCTCACAACAACCTCAAACTCTTGGGCTAAAGTGATTCTCTTGCCTCAGCCTCCCAAGTAGCTGGGATATGGGTGCCCGTCACAATGCCCGGCTATTTTTTTCTGTTGCAGTTGTCATTGTTTTGGCAGGCTCTGGCTGGGTTTGAACCCACCAGCCTCGGTGTATGTGGCTGGTGCCCTACCCACTGAGCTACGGGCGCCACCCCATCTTCCTTATTTAATATGTAAATGAAGAAACTCATATAAACATCTTGAAAGACATTTTATAAGTATAATCATTTATTTTATTTTATTTATTTTAATTTTTTTTTTTTCAGTTTTTGGCTGGGGCTGGGTTTGAACCTGCCACCTCCGGCATATGGGACCAGTGCCCTACCCTTTTGAGCCACAGGCACCGCCCATTTTATTTTAAAAAAGGTTTTGAAAATATAAAATCACCAAGTTTTCAGAGGAAAAGTTATGTAACAACTGTATTACTGAGTAATCTTATTTTATTTTTATTATATTTTATTGTTTCAGGTTAATTTAAGGATACAGAGAATTAGGTTACAATGTTTGCATTTGTTAGGTAGAGTCCCTCTTACAATTGTGTCCCACCCCCAAGAGGTGTGCCATAAGTTTTTTACATTTTTTACAGCAGCCTTTGTTACCTCCTGGGCCTCTAGAAATGGCTCCTGAAAATCAAAATGACAACAAGGAACTATTTAAAGGATTTCTGCAGACATGGACCACAGTGAGCAAGGTATCACTTGAGAGGTTTACAGCTTTAGAATCATCTGTTAAGGAAATTTCAATATTTATATTAACTTAGTGTTGTGTTTTGGTCTATTTCATTGTTTCAGACATGTAATAAGAACACTGAGAAAGGAATATCTAGCATTAAAAGGTAAGTTGGAATGCCTAGCCTTTGTTTTACATTTTTTGAGTATTTTGAATTGTAAAGATTATATACCATTACAGGAAGTTTTCTACTGTGCAATATTTCTACTCTAAGGACCATTGTTTGTGTTTTTATATATTTCATCTCCAGTGTTGCCACATACCACTAGGACAGAAGTGTTATGAGGGTAGGGACTTCGTCTTAGTAACCAGAACAGTGGCTCGGCACTTGTGGCTCAAGTGGCTAAGTCCTCAGCCATATACCCCTGAACTGGAGGTTCGAATCCAGCCTGGGCCCACCAAACAACAATGATGGCTGCAACCAAAAAATAGCCAGGCGTTGTGGCAGGCACCTGTGGTGCCAGCTACTTGGGAGGCTGAGGCAAGATAATCGCTTAAGCCCAGGAGTTGGAGGTTGCTGTGAGCTGTGATGCCACAGCACTCTACCCAGGGCAACAGCTTGAGGCTCTGTCTCAAAAACAAACAAACAAAACCAGAATGGTGCCTGGCACATTGTATATATTTGTTCAGTGTTGAATAGATGAATAAATTTACATATATTTTTGCTTTGTTATGTTGTAATGTACGTATAATTTTGCATTATGCTCTTTTCATTTGTGCTTGTATGTTATTAGAGTCTTTAAAATTATTCAATAGTTGTATAATATTCCATTGAGTGGGTAGAATTTTTTTTTTTTTTTTTTTTTGAGACAGAGCCTCAAGCTGTCCCCCTGGGTAGAGTATGTGGCATCACAGCTCACAGCAACCTCCAGCTCCTGGGCTCAAGCAAATCTCCTGCCTCCACCTCCCAAGTAGCTGGGATCACAGGTGCCCACCACAACTCCCGGTTACTTTTTTTGGTTGCAGCCATCATTGTAGTTTGGTGGGCCCAGGCTGGATTTGAACCCGCCACCTTAGGTGTATGTGGCTGGCGCCTTAGCCACTTGAGCCACAGGAGCCGTGTGGATAGAATTTAATTAACCTCCTTTCACCATTTGGTATTAGAAGTTTTTTGTTTGTTTGTTTTGTAGAAACAAGATCTCACTTTGTTGCCCAGGTTGGTCTGGAACTCCTGGGTTCAAGGGATCTTCCCACCTTGGCCTCCAAAGTGCTAGGATTATAGGTGTAAGCCACCATGCCTGCGCCCCCCCCACCCCTTTTTGAGACAAAGTCTCATTCCATCACCCATGGTACAGTGCCATGGTGCCATCAAAGCTCATAGCAACCTCAAACTCATGGGTTCAAGAGATCCTCTTGCCTCAGTCTCCTGAGTAGCTGGGACTACAGGTATGCGTCACCATGCCCAGCTAATTTCTTTTCTATTTTTTTAGTAGTGATGGGGCCTCACTCTTACTCAGGCTGGTCTTGAACTCCTGAGCTCAAATGATCCACCCACCTCTGCCTCCCAGAGTGCTAGGGTTATAGGCATGAGCTAATCATCGCATCTGGCCTCCTCCCTTTTTCTTTTAAGAGATGAAGTTTCAATCACTTGTTGCCTAAGCTGGAGTACCGTGATGTGATCATAGCCCATTGAAACCTCAAACTCCTGGGCTCAAGTGATCTTCCTGTCTTAGTCTCCCAAGTAGCTGAGACCAAAGGCATACACCACCAACTCTGGCTGATTCCCCCCCATCCCCCGCTCTCCCCTTTTTTTAAGAGATGGGGGTCTCACTATGTTGCCCAGGCTAGTCTTGAACTTGTGGCTTCAAGTGAATCTACTGCTTCAGGCTCCCAATTTGCTTGGATTATAGGTGTGAACCCCTACACCTGCTTCTCTAGTTTTGTGTACAGGTGTATTTGTTGAAGTGTATGTGTATGATAATGGGTTTTTGTTTTCGGATGGATTGCCAGAAGTGGGATAATAAGTCAGATCTCCTGGATATTTTTATGGTGTTTAGTACATGTTGCTGAATTGTTTTCTGAAAATCTTATTTGAACTTATTCTGCTGCTAGCAATATATGTGAGTATGTATACTTAACAGTAACTGCTAGTTTTTGGTGTTATTAAAATTATCAAGGGTAATTTAATAAGAGTAAAATAGGATCAGTGTTTGATTTCTTGGTTACCAAGAGGTTGAATACTTTCCTATATTTATTTACTAGTTGTGATATTTATTTTTTGTCTCAAACCTTTTACTTATTTTGAGTGTTGAGATTTGTTTTACTTATAAAATTTAACTTTTTGATTTTCATAGCTACAAAGCTAATTTAAATGGCATGGTCATTAGTGAAGATACTGTTTACAAAGTTACCAGAGGCCCAATATACTCCTTGGCTCTCCATCCATCAGAAACTAGAACTTTGGTAGCAGCTGGGGCCAAATTTGGGCAAGTTGGACTTTGGGATTTGGTAAGTTGTTATTAATTTTTTTGAAGATATTAAATAGATAGCAAATAGTCTAGAAGAGACTGTGGTCAGCCTTCTAGTCTAATTTTTTTGAAGATATTAAATAGATAGCAAATAGTCTAGAAGATAACAGGCTAGAGCTATGTGTTTATAAATGTTGCTTGAAATTTACAGTTTTGAGCTTTATGATACCAAGTTTTAGAAATCTGGAAAAATTTAAATTTGCTTTATAGAACTTTTAACATTTTTAGCTTGAATATCATTAGCCATCTGGTCATACATCAACTGCCAGGAAACTTTATTAAAACCTTAAATGTATATATGAAAAAACTGTACAAAGTTCTTAGTTTTCTAATTATGTTTAAAAACGCCCAAAACTGCAAAGTATGATTTGCTGTGGTCTATTTTTATCACCCTGAAATTCAAATGTTGAAATACCCCTCATGGTGATTAGGAGGTAGGGCCTTTGGGAGGTGATAGGTCATGAATGGGATTAGGAACCTTATAAAAGAAGCCCAAGAGAGACCACTGCCTTTCCCACCATGTGAGGTTACAGCTAGGTACCAGAAAGAGGGTCCTTACCTAATGCTGAATCAATTGGAGCCTTGATCTTGGTCTTCCCAGCCACTAAAAACATAAGAAATAAATTTTTGCTGTTTATATGCCCCTCATTTTATGGTATTTTGTTACAACTATCTGAAGGGACTAAGACACAGTCCCTAAACTGGATCAAAATGTCTTCCCAGAGAATTGCCTGGGATGATCTCAATCATCTTTTGATGAGTCAGCAACAGTGAATTTGATTCATTGTGCATATAGTTCTGCATTAAGTGCTTTCAGTAGTTATAAAATTGAGAAAAGCCAGGTTTATGTTCTCTGAATTTATTTTCTAATTGGGGAAGTGGGACAAAGATATGAAAAATGCTAAGGATAATTAAAGGAAATGAAGAAACAATGGTGACTCGAAGTGAGTTGGGGTTTACAAATAAATTTTGCAAGTGCAGAGACAAAGATAACCCCCCCAAATTCTCCCTTAGTTTGGGATCATAGCTTACTCCTTTATTTCATAAGATGTGAATTGGGGTAGGAGGTGAAAGGATTTAGCAAAGAAAACTGAAGCAGGGAAGTGGGACGAGGATCAGAATGGAAGCCAAAAGATGAATCAAGGGCAGGAGATTGGCAGGGCCTCTTGCAGAGAAGTCAAAGAGAATGGGAGCAGAGAAAAGGACACTGGTTTTGAAAATAAGGTCCCGTTTGTGAATTGAGAGATAACTCTGACAAAAAGTCAAAGAAGGAACACAGCCTTTAGGAAATTAAGAAAGTATAGGGTGGTGGGTGAAGCAGAAGCAATGGATAAAAACCACTTCTTTTTTTTTTTTTAAGAGACAGAGTCTTACTTTGTCACCCTCAGTAGAGTGCTTTGCTGTCACAGCTCACAGCAACCTCCAGTTCTTGAGCTTAGGTGATTCTCTTGCCTCCTCCTGAGTAGCTGGGACTACAGGTGCCTGCCACAATGCCTATTTTCTTGTTGCAGTTTGGCTGGGGCTGGGTTTGAACCCACCACCCTTGGTATATGGGGCCAGTGCCCTACTCACTGAGCCACAGGTGCTGCCCTAAAGACTACTTCTTAAAGAATTTTAAAGAGGAAATATTGAAAATTAGCATTCTTAATTGAAGACCTTTTTAGGGTGGGTTGGTCTGTATGAAGTTGAGGAAACAAATACAGAAAAGTCCCTTTTTCATATCTTTCCTGGTGATTCCAAAAATCTGTATTGGACTATAGGTCTCATCAGCCTTCTAATTTTCTTTTCTTTTTTTTTTTTTTTTTTTTTGAGACAGAGCCTCAAGCTGTCCCCCTGGGTAGAGTGCCGTGGCATTACAGCTCACAGCAACCTCCAACTCCTGGGCTCAAGCGAGTCTCAAGTAGCTGGGACCACAGGCGCCCGCCACAACGCCCGGCTATTTTTTTTTTTTTGGTTGCAGCCGTCATTGTTGTTTGGCGGGTCCAGACTGGGGATTCGAACCCGCCACCTTAGGTGTACGTGGCTGGCGCCTTAGCCGGTTGAGCTATAGGCGCCGAGCCAGCCTTCTAATTTTCAGGACATTTGTCTATCTCACTAACAGATTCAGCAAACCTAAAAGCAGTAACATTTTGCCTATCCTGTGCTCATTCCCCAATTCCCCTAGTTTTTAATATTTTTTTTGTTTTGTTTTGGTTGCAATTTGGCTGGGGCTGGGTTCAAACCCACCACCCTTGGTATATGGGGCCAGTGCCCTACTCACTGAGCCATGGGCGCTGCCAAAGTTTTTAAATTTTTAAAAAAAAATTTTTTTTGAGATAGTTTCACATGGTCACCCTCAGTAGAGTGCCAGGGTATCTTAGCTCACATCAACCCCAAATTCTTGGGCTTAAGAGATCCTCTTGTCTCAGCCTTAGCCTCCCAAGTAGCTGGGACTACAGATGCCTGCCGCAACGCCTGGCTGTTTTTTTTGTTGTTGTTGTTGTTTAGCAGGCTACCAGCTCCAGAGCATGTGGTAGGCCCCTAACCATTGAACTATAGGCACCCAGCCTTCCCCAGTTTTCTCTTTTAAATGTATTTTATTGAGGTATAATTTATGTATAAAATTCACCCATTTTAAATGTACAGTTCAATGATTTTTTTTTTTTTTTTGAGACAGAGTCTCTCTATGTCATCCTTAGTGGAGTGCTGTGGTGTCACTGCTCGCAGCAACCTCCAACTCTTGGGCTTAAACGATTCTTTTGCCTCAGCCTCCCACGTAACTGGGACCACAGGCGCCCACCTCAGCGCCTAGCTATTTTTTTGTTGCATTTGTAATTATTGCTTAGCTGGCCTGGGCTGAGTTCCAACCCACCAGCCTTCGTGCATGTGGCTGGTGCCGTAACCACTATGCTATGGACACTGAGCCTCATTCCACATTTATTAACTACTTTGTGCCACGTACTCTTGCAACAAGCAGGGTTATATTTATCAGCACAGATTGTCACTTTCCTCATAGAGTTTAGAACTTAGTGGTAGAAGCAGCATTAATTAAATAATTACTAAGCATATAAATGATAAGGGGAATGAATTATGTACTGTATTTAATGGAGTGAAGGAAAAGTAATGTTATGAAAACACATAAGAGGAAACTGGTTTAATTTGGAGAATTAGGAAAGACTTTCCTGAGTAATTGAGAATTGAGTTCAGATTTGAAAGCTAAGTAGGAGACCAGGTAAAGGGGAAAGAGTGTTTCAGGCAAGAACCTTAGGCAGGAGAGCCATTTGATACATTCAAGACCTGAAAGAATGCTGGTGTATGGCTGGAACACAGACAGCAAACAAATGAATGGAGGGAATGAGTGGAATAGAGGAAGCTGTAGAATTGAGCAGAGGCTACATGCATTTTTGTTTGTTTGTTTTTGAGACTCACTCTTGTCTCCCAGACTAGAGTGCTGTGGTGTCATCATAGCTTGCTGTAAACTCAGACTCTTAAGTTCAAGCCTCCCCAGAAGCTGGGACAACAGGTGTGTGCCACAGTGCCCACCTTATATTCCTACCTGAGTCTCCCAGAGTGCTAGGATTATAGGGTGAGCCACTGCACCTGGCCTATACCAACAGTTAATGTCAACAAAGTCCTGAGAGAAATTAGTGTCTCCCTGGAACACTTACCCAGCCAATGATAATTGTTCTAGTACAAAGGCAGAAGGCATATATTCTCACATGTGAAAAAGCCAAAGAAGTTCAAGACCCATTGGAAAAAATTGCTTAACAGCAAATTCAAGCCAATTAAGCATTTAGGAATGGGTGGTGCCTGTGGCTCAGTGGGTAAGGCGCCGGCCCCATATACCGAGGG